ACCACCGAGGAGGGGAAGTTACGGTCCTTGAAAAACGAGGACAACTGAGATGTACGGGAGTGGAATGCCTCATCCTGGGAGCAGATGCGGCGGAGGCGAAGGAATTGGGAATAGGGGATAGCATTTTTGCAGGAAGGTGGGTGGGAGGAGGAGTATTCTAGGTAGCTGTGGGAGTCGGTGGGCTTGAAATGAATATCGGTTTCTAGGTGGTTGCCCGATATGGAGACAGAGAGGTCCAGGAAGGGGAGAGAGGTGTTGGAGATGGTCCAGGTAAACTTAAGGTTGGGGTGGAAGGTGTTAGTGAAGTGTATGAACTGTTCGAGCTCCTTGTGGGAGCACGAGGCGGTGCCGATACAGTCATCAATATAACGGAGGAAGAGGTGGGGTTTAGGGCCGGTGTAGGTACGGAAGAGGGATTGTTCCACGTAACCTACAAAGAGGCAGGCGTAGCTTGGGCCTATGCGGGTACCCATGGCTACCCCCTTTGTCTGTAGGAAGTGGGAGGAATTGAAAGAGAAGTTGTTGAGTGTGAGGACGAGTTCGGCTAAGCGGATGAGGGTATCAGTGGAGGGGGACTGGTCGGGCCTGCGGGACAGGAAGAAGCGGAGGGCCTTAAGGCCATCTGCATGGGGAATGCAGGTGTAGAGGGACTGGACGTCCATGGTAAAGATGAGGTGTTGGGGCCTGGGGAATTGGAAGTTCTGGAGGAGGTGGAGGGTGTGGGTAGTGTGACGGACATAGGTAGGGAGTTCCTGGACCAAGGGGGAGAAAATGGAGTCTAGATAGTTGGAGATCAGTTCGGTGGGGCAGGAGCAGGCGGAGACAATGGGTCGACCAGGGCATTCAGGTTTGTGGATTTTGGGAAGGAGATAGAAGCGGGCGGTGCGAGGTTGGGGAACGATGAGGTTGGAGGCCGTGGGTGGGAGGTCACCTGAGGTGATGAGGTTGTGGATGGTTTGCGAGATGATGGTTTGGTGCTCAGGGGTGGGGTCATGATCAAGGGGGCGGTAGGAGGAGGTGTCGGAGAGTTGGCGTCCGGCCTCGGCGATGTAGAGGTCAGTGCGCCATACTACAACTGCGCCTCCCTTGTCCGTGGGTTTTATGGTGAAGTTGGGATTGGAGCGGAGGGAGCGGAGGGCTGCACGTTCTGCGGGGGAGAGGTTGGAGTGGGTGAGAGGGGTGGAGAGGTTGAGGCGATTGATGTCTCGACGGCAGTTGGAGATGAAGAGGTCGAGGGAGGGTGGCAGCATCTGTGTTCTGAGGAAGGGTAACCGGACCCGAAACGTTAACTCTGTTTTTTCCTTCACAGAGGCTGCCAGAACTGCTGAGCTTTTCCAGCAACTTTGTTTTTATTTCAAATTTAATGTTCAATGTGTCAGTCTGTGCAACTACTGTAAGCTACATGCCCATTCATAAAGTATTTAGGCTGTGATTATGTTACACTTTTGTTAAATAGTTGCATGTCCACCTGGACACTTCAGTGCAAGACAAGACACAATCTGCACTCCATGCACCTTCGGTTCATTTAACAAGCATTATGGAAAAACTGAATGCACAAACTGCCCACGAAATGAAGCTACTGACAGAAATGGAGCAACTTCTCAACAGGAATGTCACTGTAAGTTTGTGTTATTTGATTTTAAAAAATGAATGCTTTTTATATTGTGTATTGTCATCACCTCCTTCTACACATCTGTCAGCTGTCGGACATTGGTTGTCATGTGTTGCTGATTTATTCTATGCCTCTATCTATAAAGTCCAGGATCTTAATGCCTTATTAATTGCTTTCTCAATCTGTCTTGTCACCTTCAACTATTTGTGCACATATACACCTGAATCACTGCTTCTGCACCACCTGGAGAATTGTATCCTTTATTTTGTAGCATCTCTTGACATTCTTACTAACTTGAATCTGCCCATTCCACCAAGCTATGTACTTACTATCTCCTGCATCATCTCCTTGATGTTTGCAAAAGTGCCTCCAGTTTTGAATGAAGTGGAAATTACAGAATATTACTGAACAGTTTTGAAATTTCTAATTCAGTATTTTATTAGGTGGCAATTTCTTTAATGCTTTGGAAGTCTCAGATTTTCTAATTTATTTGTTTTATCTTACATAATGATATGTACTTTTAACCAAAATCATTTTTATAATTCCTAGGGATTATGTATCCGTGGATATTACCTGTGGCATCTTCAGTAGGAACTTGCATCTTTCTCATTATCCTTTTGATGTAAGTATTAATCGGATTGGTTTTGGTAAATTATTTTCTTTGGCCTTTGGCCACTACCAAAGCTGCCTTAAAACTCTTAACTAGCAGTTGTTGAAAAGGAGACAGACTGATTGGTTTGCTGATATTGTCTACATACTTGTCAGAAAGTCATTCACACAATAATTCAGCTAACAATAATTCGTTCCATGATATCTCATGTTGGTGCTACAGTGCATTGTATGACTAGCAATCATAATTAAATAACCCAGCAATGACAAGCAGTTATTTTATATGTTTATTTTACCTTTTCATAAAATGTGGATGTCACTGGCTGAGCCAGCATTTTTTGCCCATTCCCTGTTAAACTTGAGAAGGCAACGGTGAGCTGCTTTCTTGAACCACTTGCATACATAGGAATAGGAACACTATTAGGAAGGGAGTGACAGGATTTTTACCCAATGGCTGTGAAGGAACAGCAGTAAAGTCCCAAGTCAGGATGCTATGTAGCTTGGAAGGGAACCTTCATGTGGTGTTTCTAGACATCTGCTGTTCTTGTCCAGGAAATATGGGACATGGTTTTGGAAAGAGCCTTAGTAAGTTGTTACAGAGCATCTTGTAGAAGGTACACTTTGCATTGGTGGTGAAGGGAGTGAATATTGAATGTGGTGGATGGAAGGACAATCAACTGGATATTTTTCAGCTTCTTGTGTCATTGGAGCTGGAAGTGGTAGGTGTTCCATCACGGTCCTGACATGTGCCTTGTAGATAGTGGACAGGCTTTTGGGAGTTGGAAGAGAAGTTATTTGCCTCAGAATTTTAAACCGCTGACCTACTAGTGTAGGCACAGTTGACTGATTGATTGATTTTACTGTCACGTGTACCGAAATACAGTGAAAAGCTTTGTTTACGAGCTGTGCAGGCAGATCACAGCAAGCAAAGGTTGTAGAGATCAAAAAGAGGCACACAGGTTACATTGCAGGTTACATTATTTGAGACTAGAGTCCATTCAACAATCTGATAACGGCCGGAAAGAAGCTGCTCCTGAACCTGTTTGGCTTCTGTATCTTCTGCCTGATAGAAGAGATTGTAGGAGGTCAATATTAGGGTGCGATGCGTCTTGATGATGTTGGCCGCCTTTCTGCCACAGCAAGCCACGTAAGCAGAATCCATGGATGGAAGGTTGGCTTCCATGATGCTCTGGGCTGTGCACACCACCTTCTGTAGTTTCTTACGGTCCTGGGCAGAGCAGTTGCCATACCAGGCCGTTATGCACCCGGACAGTATGCATTTAATAGCGCATCTGTAGAAGTTGGTGAGGGACCTTATGGACACACCAAATTTCCTGAGCTGCGCAAGGAAGAAGAGGCATTGTTGTGCCTTTTTGACTGTTGCATCTACGTGGTAAGTCCAGGAAAAGTCATCATCCAGGAACTTGATGCTCTTCACCCTCTCAACCTCAGTTCCATTGATGTAGATGGGGGCGTGTTCTCCTCCCTTCTTTCTGAAGTCAATGATCAGTTCTTTGGCTTTGACGACGTTAAGAGACAGATTGCTTTCATTGCACCATGTCACTGAGCCCTCTATCTCCCTTCTATATTTTGCCTCGTCGTTGTTAGATATCCCACTATGGTAGTGTTGTCAGTGAACTTGTAGATGGCATTCATTCAGAATTTGGCAACACAGTCATAGGTGTACAGGGAGAACAGTAGGAGGCTGAGGACACATCCTTGAGGGGATTCCAGTGTTGAGCGTTATTGTGGAGGAGGTGCAGTTGTCTATCCTCACTGATTGGAGCCTATGGGTCAGAAAGCTGAGGATCCAATTGCAGAGGATGGAGCCGAGACCAAGATCACACAGTTTTGAGATCAGTCTGGAGGGGATAATGGTGTTGAAGGCGGAGCTGTAGTCAATGAGCATGAGTCTGACGTAGATGTCTTTGTTGTCCAGATATTCCAGGGATGAGTATAGGGCTAGGGATATGGCATCCTCTGTGGACCAGCTATGTCAGTAGGCAAACTGTAGGCGATTGAGGCAGGTTGGGAGACTGGAGTTGATGTGGACCATGCCCAGCCTCTCGAAGCACTTCATGATTATTGAAGTCAGAGCTATTGGGCGGTAGTCACTAAGGCACACTGCACATGTTTTCTTGGGTACAACGTTGATGGTGGTCTTCTTGAAGCAGGTGGGGACTTCAGCTTGTAGTAAGGAGAGGTTGAAGATATCGGTGAATACCTCAACCAGTTGGTCTGCACAGGATCTGAGTGCTCGGCTAGGGACACCGTCCAGGCCCATTGCTTTCCTTGGGTTGACTCCCAGAGAAACTGATCTGACTTCTGAAGCAGTGACAGAGGGAACAGGTGTGCCTGGGGCTGTTGGGGCAGGCATCGCCATGCCGGTGGTATTCTGCTCAAACTGAGCATAGAAAGCATTGAGTGTGTCAAGGAGGGATGTGTCATTGTCCGCTATCTTACACTGTTTCATCTTGTATCCTGTAATGTCATTTAGATCTTGCCGTAGACAGCGGAAGTCTGTTTAGTAGGTCTGCACTTCTAACGTGGTACAGTACTGCTTCTTGGCCTTCATGACATCTTTGTGGAAGTCATATCTAGATTTCTGTGTTGGTCCGGGTCACCCGACTGCACATCTAGTTTTCAGTAGGGAATGGATTTCCTGGTTCATCCAAGATTGACGGTTGGGGAACACTCGGATTGATTTCTTTGGTACACTGTCCTCCAGGCATTTGCTACTGAAGTCCGTGATGATGGTGGCATACTTGACCAGGTTTTCCGTTGAACACTTGAACACAGTCCAGTCCACCAAGTCCAAACAGTCCTGGAGATGGTCTTCTGCTGCCTTAGACCAGCACTGTACTTTGTTTCATGAAGGATCCTCCTGTTTCAGTTTCTGCTTGTAAGCTGGGAGGAGGAATACAGCATTGTGGTGGGATTTTCCAAAGTGTGGGCAGGGGATTGAGCGGTAGGCATCTTTGATGGTCGTGTAGCAATGTCCAGAATGTTTGGTCCCCTGGTGGGGCAGGAGATGTGACGGTGGTATTTGGGCATCACCTGCTTGAGGTTGGCTTGGTTGAAGTCCCCGGCCACAATGAATAGGGCCACGGGAGAATTTTGTCCCTAGAGGGTTTGTGGCGGTGTAAATCTCGTCCAGGGCATTGTTCACATCCACATGTGGTGGTATGTAGACTGCTGTCAGGATGGCAGAGGTGAACTCTCATGGTAGTTAGTAGGGATGGCATTTATACGACTGATACAGTTCAGTTTCTAGTCAATGGTAAACCCATGTGAACATGGATAGTGGGAGTTTTCAATGACAATACCAATGAATATCAGGCACAGATAGTTAGATTCTCTTTTGTTGGAGATGGTCCTTGTCTGGCACATGTGTGGTGCAAATCTTACTTGTCACTTGTCAGCCCAAGCTTGAATGTTGTACAGATCTTGTTGCATATGATTGCAGATGGAAACACAGATTGCCTCAGTTTCTGAGGAGTCACAAATATTGCTGAAAATCATCGTCAGCAAACATCTCCACTTCTGATTTTACAGTGAAATGAAGATCATTTATTTAGATGGTTGGAAAGTTACATTCTGTGGATTCAGAACTCCAGAGCTTCTCTTGAGACTCACAAGCTTACTTTATTAAATACCTTTGTACCAGCATTGGAACATAGGAACAGGAACACAGAACCATTCATCCCCTTGAGCCCATTCTAACATTCAGTAACATGATGGCTCATCTATAGTCCCTTTAACTCCTTGATTTCCTGTTCCTCAATACCCTTGGCTCACAATAATCTATAGATCCAGATTTCTTTCCAGGCAGTTTCCTTCCCTAAAGGACATTAGTGAACAGATGGATTTTTCTGACAATTGACAATGGTTTCGTGGTCATCATCGGACTCCTAATTGCAGATTTGTATTGAATGTTAATTTACAACAAAAACTTGTGTTTGTATAGTGATAAATAGATTATAAAACATCCCAAAGCATTTCATTGGAGCATTATGAAGCAAAATTTGATGCTGAGCCAGATAAGGAAACTTTAGATTTGATGACGAAATGCTTGGTGAAAGACTAAGTGTTAATAAATATCTCTCAAGAAGAAAGAGATGCAGAGTGGTTTAGGGACAGAAATCTAGGGAGTAGAGTGAAGCAATCAAAATTAAGTAAAATTAAATAATGAGTCGAATAAAAAGAGAATGTATGCTCAGCAGAAGCAGAATGTCTTTCCCAATGTTTCTGATCAAACTTCAAGCCAAATATGCTTAGGGCCATTCCCTTAAATCTTGACAGTCTTGTTATTTTGAAAGTCTATCACACCAGGTTTGAGGATCAGCTCTGGGTCGAAAGGTGTTACTTAATTTAACTTTCAACTAGTGTTTTTTGTAGTTTTAGACCTGTTGTCTTTTTTCTTGTTTCTTATTATTTTTCAAATCTTTCTCCACCTAATAATTTTATCTCTTCCATCTGACCAGGACAGCCACTTCATCATAACAATCTTCAAGTGGAATTGTGATTTGGTCACAGACGTCTGTAATTAGTACTAATACCAATACTGCTCTGACACTACATGAACATATGAGAAGTAGCCCATTTGGCCTTTGGTTGTAACCTCAACTCCACATTCCCTGAAATTCTTGCTTACCAAGAGACTATTCACCTCAGGGTTAAAAATGTTCATTTGTATGCAAACATCTTTGTTGCTGACTGAGGCAGGCAAGATTAGTTGTTCATTTCTCCTGGACTGGAAAACTGTGGAAGCAACACTAGATTTTAAAGGCAACAGTAATATTCCCACTAAAATCTGAAATCCTTTACATTAGTCCTGTTCGTTGGATCAAGTGCATTCCCTATTTCTTGTCAGTTGCTGTCCTGGGTGTCAGTGAAATTCTCCTTTTTGTTATACGCTGAATTTTTTTTCGAGTGCCTCTCTTTGTTCTCACCCCAGCAGCATCTTCTTTTCCCCATCCATGAGAAAGGCTGCATCACTATGCTTTTCACAGTAGCACGCCATCTTCCCATAGGTATCTATCCAACACAATTAGTTTTCTCAAACCTCCCACACCCTACTCCAGGCCAATCCCATAGTCTGCACACACATTATCGCTCTATTACTATATTTGAATAACACCATCGGTCTGTCAGTGTAACCTGTCCACAAATTATAGGTAGGTCAGTCATGCTGTCCAAACATCAGTCCAATAAGCCACTTTTTCCTGCAATGAGACAAAGGGAAGGATTGAGTATAATGAAAGTAGATGGAAGAGCAGTGAGTGGTGATGCACAAGTAGGAGAATCATAGAGTCATACAGCAGGAAGGTTTGTGAGGTCCCCAGCAACATTCTGTCTAAGCTTTGAAGGTTCATGTATGCGAATTGACATGCTACAGCATTGACTTTCAGTTTTGGATGTTGCTGCTATGCAAGGAGCTTAGTGCTGTGCACTGAAGGTCCTCAGTGAGTGATTGTGAAGTGCAGAGGATCAGAAGGGTTAGTAGTTTCGAATGATGAGGTGGCTGAGAACAATTGAATAGATATAATGGCAATACCGAGTGTTATATTCCTTGAGTCTTGATGAGAGCCTTGTGCAGTGACAGAGTTAGAGTGAATGGTGGCCTCTACTAAGTGTCAGGTTGCAGGCAGAAGATCATAGCACTTACCCGAATGGAGTGCAGAAGATCATTGACTTTCTTTCTGGATTGTTGGATATCTCCATTCACATGACACTTACCTGGGCTGCCAAAATGCATTTCAGCTGACTTGTTCCGGGGGACCTCATGTGATGATCCATAGGAAAATGACTGTCTTCCTCTCTGATCACCTCATCCACCAACATCTCCAGTCTGTGTCTGCTAAGTGGAGATCAATCTTTCCTTTCCTCTGGCCCACATCCACCTTTTTAAAGGGCGTCTTGACAAATACATGAATAGGATGGGAATAGAGGGATATGGTCCCCAGAAGGGTAGGGGGTTTGAGTTGTGATGGGCAGCACGTCGGTGCAGGCTTGGAGGGCCAAAGGGCCTATTCCTGTGCTGTAATTTTCTTTGTTCTTTGTTGTTAATAATCATCAAGCATCAGAGTGTGAGAATCAGTTCCTAGCTTGCAGCATCTGAAGTGGTGTGCAGCTGGCTTTTAAATATGATCCAGCAGCATAAAAACTGGAAGGCCCAGCATTGGGTCTTACTGCTCGGCTGTATGATTCCCTGAGAGGGATGCCAAGAATATTATTACATCATTAGGTCTTAGCAGGTCAGAGGCTAGGAATACTGCAGTGAGTAACTCACTGCTAACTCTCCAAAACTTGCCGACTATCCTCAGGAGTGTGAGGGAGGACTGCCCACTTGCATGGATGGATGCAGGTCTCAAAAGCTTGATACCATCCAGAATAAAGCATCACATCTACAGAAGTCCTCTTTCTCCGTCACCAATGCTCAGTAGCTGGTAAAAGATTGGTATATATGCCGAAGATGGGGTGGATGAGGGGGAAGGAGTAAATGATAGGTAGAGATGGAGCCCAGAGAGAGAGAAAGCAGTTGAGCAGACAAAGGAATAGATAAAGGTCAACCTGACAGAATGAATGGCTACTAATGGGCACTATTAACAGCTGACAGTGGGTTCGTTGTGGGAGCAGCCCATGTGATGACAAGGCCTGATGTGTGGGGGTTGGGGTAAGGTCATTGGAGAAGGTGCTCAGGCCCTAAAATAATTGAACTCGATATTGAGTCCTCCCTTTAATACCTATCTCTTCCTGTCACAATATATCATTTCCCATTAAGTGCACCCAAAACACAGAATTGCCCTTCTAATACGATGTAACCACAGTTCGCCTACTCGCCACTTGTGACATATGCAGAGTTTGCAAACTAGCACCCATCATTACATCATTGGATCATCTTCGAAACTAACGTTCTCTGTATTTAGTTTTGAATAAAAGGCAAGAGATAAAATTGACAACTCATAATGAATGATAAAATTATCAAGCCTACAGTTATAGAGACATACAGCATGGAAACAGACCCTTCCATCCAATTTGTCCACGCAGACCAGGTTTCCCAAATTAAACTAGTCCCATTTGCTTGTGTTTGACTCATATCCTTTTAAACCTTTCCGATTCATGTACCTGTCCAAACGTCTTTTAAATATTGTAACAGTACCTGCGTCTACCATTTCCTCTGGCAGTTCATTTCACATATGAACCACACTCAGTGTGAAGAAGTTGCCCCTTAGATCCCTTTTAAATCTATCACCCCTCACCTTAAACCTTCACCCTCTAGTTTTGAACACCCCTACCCTAGGGAAAAGACCTTGCTATTCACCTTATCTCTGCCCTTCGTGATTTTATAATCCTCTATGAATGTCACCCCTTAACCTCCTAGACTCAAGGAAAGAAAATGTCCCAGCCTATCCAGACTCTCTATAACTCAAATCCTCCAAACCTGGTAACATCTTTATAAATCTTTTCTGTACCCTGTCCAATTTAATAATACCCTTCCTATAACAGGGTGACCAGAATGATACACAGTACTCCAAAAGTGGCCTCACTAATGTCCTGTACACCTGCAAAATGATGTCCCAACTCCTAATCACAATGCTCTGAATAATGAAGGCAAGCATGCCAAACGCTTTCTTCGCTTTGCATTTCTCTAAATTAAACTCGGTCTGACACTCCTCAGCCCATTGACCCAGCTGATCAAGATCCTGTTATACTCTTAGATAGCCTTCTTCACTGTCCACTACACCACCAATTCTGGTGTCATCTGCAAACTTAACTAACCATGCCCCCTATATTCTCATCTAAATCGTTCATGCAAATGACAAACATCAATGGACTCAGCACTGATCCCTGCCGGTCACAGGCCATCATCCGAAAAATAACCCTCTACCCCTACCCTCTCTCCTACCATCGACCCAATTTTGGATCCAATTAGCCAGCTCTCCTTTGATTCCATGTGATCTAACTTTACAAAACAGTCTACCATGCGGAACCATGTCAAAGGCCTTACTAAAGTCCATGTAAACAATGTCTGCCGCTCTACCCTCATCTATCTTCTTACTTATTCACACATGTACACAATTATGGGATGAGATCCAAGATTATTAAACACTCCCATGATACCATTTAATACAATGTTTCACTTAATAACTACAAATTAGAAGTCTTGATAACATATTTATTTTACCATGAATAACATCACAATAATGTTGTGTCTTGCATTTGTTTGTGACTCATGCAAGGTGCACATCAAACAAAAAAATCTAAAGAAGAGTCACTGGACTCAAAACGTTAACTCTGTTTTCTCTCCACAGATGCTGCCAGACTTGCTGAGTTTCTCCAGCAATTTCTGTTTTTGTTTGTTTCAGATCTCCAGCATCCGCAGTTGTTTCATTATATTAACAAAAAAAAATCATATTTGGTTTAAATTTCCCAGGAATTCCTTTTTAAAAAACAACTTCACTGTCTCTGGCACAAATCTCATCAATTTCTATGTATATAAAAAATAGCAAGATTCACACCCTTCCCTTTTGGAACTACAGCTATGATTTGCCTCCTGCCCACCCATCCTCAGTTATGCACACACACACAATTTGTGCCAACAGGACTTCTGGGAGCCATACAATATGAAGTGCGTTAATTGCCAATACATTCTAAGTTATTTAAGAAAAGATTAGCAAATTTTTGGGACTAACTTTCATTTATGTGTGTTTTGCAGAATATGCTGGAAGTATCGCAAGTCACCAATGAAGGGAAAATGTGTTCAGGTAAAAAAGGGAGAAGTAAAACAGCAGGTGAAAACACTGGCAAACATAATAAGAAGTGTTGACTTACTGGAACAGAAAAGCAAGTTAAGACCATATGAATTTATTGTTAGGCATTCACCAAAACACAGAGTGGGATTTTCAGATGATCAATGCATTGGTTTATTAAGTGATACTGACACTGAAACATGTAAGACATTTGGCTCTTTACAATCTGGTGAAAGCACATGCCCAGAAAGCAGCTTTGAGGAATGCAGATCTCCATGCACATCAGACGAACCTTGCTTTATCTCAAGGAATTCAACTCCACAGAAGGTAGCAGCTTTCCTTCGGTATGGAAGGTAGTAGTTCTCAGTGATGGTTTAATGTGTGCAGAAGTCTATATAGATGTGAAATATCACACTATTAATCTGTAAATTGCTGAATGTTTTGTATATGTCCTTCTTTGAGAGTGTTGTTACTGTATATAATGGTGAAGGAAAAGAAGCTTCTATTTAAGGTTGAAATAAGTATCATCTTAATGTATTGGCTTAAAGATTTTGATTCATCATTATTTAACAAAATAATGTTATACATATGGACACATAAGGATGGGAATGCTTATGCTCTGCTATACGCTCTGGTATAGCTAATGTTGCTTGTTAACTTAACATTACTGATGATGAGATTTCCCACTTGGTTAAAATATCAGATGGGGAATGGTGAAGATAAAGGGTCCTAACTAAAGATTAAAATATGGAATTCTGGTTATTCTCAAGTATTTAAGATGTTCTCAATGAAAAAGTCACTGTCAACTTTTATACCTATTATTCCACCTCAAATTTATAAAACTACTTATTTTTAACAAACCAAAAATGCCTTTTTTACTAAAATTAATGGTAATATCTTAGCCTGAACCATTTTTATTAAACTGTCAAACATATTTAATCTCATTCCCTCAGGGTTTCTTATTAATGATGACTTCAGTTTAAATAAACTTTTCAAACCTAATACATTATATCATTCTGTTAAGCTTAATTTCTTTTCCAAATATATTCATATTATTTCATGTACAGTGAAACTAATAGGGAGGGAAACAAAGTGCTGGTATTCATAATATAGGCCAAAATAAAATCAAACTGAATTTTTTTATGGACATTCCATGTATGATTGAGAATGAACTAAAATAATATATTGAGCTTAAAGTTCAAAAGTTACAAACCATACACCAACTACTCGGTGCCATATCAGGGCAAACTATTGTTTTTAACCAAATTATGTTTAGAGTATTTGTCTCTATCATCTCTTAAAAATATAGCTCTTCATATCAAATTAATTTCTGAAAAAGCTCATTTGGCTTACGAGCTTTACCATGTTCAGCTGTAAGTCTTGCTCACAAGTTGATGATGTAAGATGTCCTGTGCTCCCTTGTTGCTGAGATGGAGTTTTACCGCAATACCATGAGAAATACACTTCAAAAGACACATTCTTTAATAACATCCTACAGTACCGCTTTCAATTTTTTTTTTTAATTTTTAATCAGCAAATTCCAAACCTTGATCCTGCAATCAATATTTTTCTTATGCAATTTAGCATTGAAATAGCTGTTTGCAAACAGTTAAATATTGCAGCTAGCAAGACCATTCCTATATTGAGGTATATATTTAATTAGATATTGGAAGTCTTTTACATGTAAGAATAATTATTATGTGTATATGTATCTCAGTTATAAATGCCTTTTAGTATAGACTCTACCTCTTTACATAACGTCAATATAAGTCATTGATATTCCTCTGAGACAGAAGCTTCTTTAATAATAGATATTTTAATAAAATTAATTCCATAATTTAAGACTTTGTTTTTTTCTCTTTCATTGTGATTTGGTTTATATTGATTTAATAATGAAGTTGTGGGGTAGGAAACTATAATGAAAGATCAGAGGACAATCGTAGCAAACTCCAAAATAGTGTTCACCGATTCATTTTGTAACTTAGATGAACCTGTTTTCTTCAGTGGCCTGTTAAGCTTTAAACCTGTATGTATCATAGATATGCTGCAACTGTAAACCTGAAATAATTTCTTAGGGCTGATGGGGAGTGAGGTAGATCTGATGAATTTGGAGGAATATGGATTAAAGGGGTATGTGAACTCAATACTCAAATCTATTGGCTCTAAAATGTAGGTCTGGCAGCTTTCCTTCTGGAGCTGGGCTTGCACCATCTATGCCCTCGAAAATAATTTTTAAAAAACATAAGTCACATGCATGCCTAATGCCTATAGAAGCTAAGAGGCATTAACAGAAGTAAAGAATGATAGAATACAGAAAGAGACAGTTTGGATGGAAGTTGTACTAATCTCCTTCCTCACTTGCAACTATCATGTGACCTCTAACATGAGGGACTCAATTCAAGGAGCTACTTTACAGAACAGAATACAAGACACATTGTATTCCATGAACATGTAACAAGGTCTCAGAAATGGAGCTTAAATTGAGAGCTGAAGATCTCTAATAGAAGCACTGCTCCCAAAGGGGAAACACTGAAATGTTCAGTGCTGCTGAAAGCTGCTAAAAGCCACTGAAAAGGAAAGGTAAACAAAGAAGTAGTCTGCAGCTAAATCACTCAGTAAGTCACACAATGCTTGCAACTTTTCCCCACCTGTCTCTGGTTAAAATACAAGTGGTAGGGAACACATCCGGCGGGTTTCCACTCTCAATGGAAAACTACCAGATTGTGATAGTTTTAATTAATAAGCCAGAGCAACAATGAGTAGCCACACTTTTAACATTCTTGGGGAGAAACTGTCACAAAGTGTACCTTAAATCCATCCAAAGAACAAAAAATACAGACTGCACAGAGTTTGAAAGCCTGGAATGAATGCTTAAACCTCAGGTGAATGCAATAAAAAGCAATATGAGCAAGGAGAAGCTGAAATATGAGGGTAAGTTGGCTGGAAATATAAAAGAAGATTACAAGCTATTTTTAGATATATAAAGGGTAAGAGAGGCAAGAGTGGATATTGGATCACTGGAAAATGAGGCTGGAGAAGTAGTAACAGGAACAAAGAAATGGCGAAGGATATAATTAGGTTCTTTGCATCAGTTTTCACAATGGAAGACACAGCAACATAGCAGAACTTCAAGAGAGTCAGGGGGCAGAGGTGAGTATAGTGGCCATCAAAAAGAGAATGTGCTGGGAAAGATGTAAGATCTGAAGGTGGATAAATCACCTGGACCAGAGAGATTACACCCCAGAGTCCGGAAGGAGATAGCTGAGGAGTTTATAGAGGCTTTGGTGGCAATCTTTCGGGAATCACTGGAAACACGGAGGGTGCCATAGGATGGCTAATGTAACAGCCCTGTTTAAAAAGGAAGGGAAACAGAAAACAGGAAATTTTCTGAAGAAGTTTTGCCCCGAAACATCAACTTTCCTGCTCCTCTGATGCTGCCTAGCTTGCTGTGTTCCTCCAGCTCCACACTGTGTTATCTCTAACTCCAGCATCAGCAGTTCTTACTATCTCACAGGAAATTATAGACCAGTTGGCTTGACCTTGGTCGTTGGTAAGTTTTTAGAGTCCATTATTAAGGATGAGATTGTGGAGTACTTGGAAGTGCATTGTAAAATAAGGCTGAATCAGCATGGCTTTATCAGAAGGAGGTCTGTTAGAATTCTTTGAGGATTTATCAAACAAGTTAGACAAAGGAAAGCCACTGGACTCGATCAGGTTGGATTTTCAGAGGCCTTTGATGAGGTGCCGCATGGGAAGCTGCTATATAAGATAAGGGCCCATGGTGTTAGGAGAAAAGTACTGGCATGGATGGAGGATTAGCTGACTTGCAGAAGACAGAAGTCACAGGTTATAGTCCAAGAGGTTTATTTCAAACCACAAGCTTTCGGAGCACTGCTCCTTATCAGATGAAGTCCATATCACAACTGGCAGAAAGCAGCGGATAGGGATGAAGGGGTCTTTTTCATGATGGCAGCCAGTGACTGGTGGAGTTCTGCACGGGGTTAATGTTGGGATCACAACTATTCACATTATACATTAATGATCTGGATTAAGGAACTGACAGCATTGTTGCCAAGTTTGCAGATGATACAAAGATAGATGCAGGGACAGGTAATATTGAGGAAGTGGGGAGCCTGCAGAAGGACTTGGACAGGCTAGGAGAGTGAGCAAAGAAGTGACAGGTTTTTTAAATTCATTTGTGGGATGTGGGTGTCGCTGGCTGGCCAGCATTTATTACCCGTCCCTAGCTGCCCTTGAGAAGGTGGTGGTGAGCTGCTTTCTTGAACTGCTGCAGTCCATCTGCCGTGGGTTGACCCACAACGCCATTCGGGAGAAAATTCCAGGATGTTGACCCAGCGACAATGAAGGAATGGTGATATATTTCCAAGTCAGGATGGTGAGTGGCTCGGAGGGGAACTTGGAAGTGGTGGTGTTCCCATATATCTGCTGCCCTTGTCCTTCTAGATGGAAGTGGTTGTGGGTTTGAAAGGTGCTGTCTGAGGACCTTCAGTGAATTTCTACAGTGCATCTTGTAGATGGTACGCACTGCTGCTACTGAGCGTTGGTGGTAGAGGGAGTGGATGCTTGTGGATGTTGTGCTAATCACGCAGGCTGCTTTGTCCTGGATGGTGTCAAGCTTCTTGAGAGTTGTTGGAGCTGTACTCATCCAGACAAGTGGGGAGTATTGCATCATATTCCTAATTTGTGCATCGGAATACAATGTGGGAAATTGTGAGGTTTGATATGCACTTTGGTAGGAAGAATAGAGACATAGACTATTTTCTAACTGGGGAAAGGCTTCAGAAATGAGAAGCACAAAGGAACTTGGGAGTCCTACTTCAGGATTCTTTTAAGGTTAACATGCAGGTTCAGTTGGCAGTTAGGAAGCCAATTGCCATGTTAGCATTCATTTTGAGAGGGCTGCTTCCAAGACCAGGGATGTACTGCTGATGCTGTAAAAGGTCAGACCGCATTTAGAATATTGTGAGGTGTCTTGGGCCCGGTATCTAAAGCAGGATGTTTGACATTGGAGGGGGTCAAGAATGAGCCCGGGCATGAAGGCTTGTCATAAGAGTAGCGGTTGAGGATGCTGGATCTGTACTCGAAGGAGTTTTGAAAGATGAGTGGGGATCTCATTGATACTTACAGAATACTGACAGGCCTGGATATAGTGGATGTGGAGAATATGTTTCCACTTTAGAAGAGACCAAGACCTGAGGGCATAGCCTCAGAGTGAAGGGAGAACCCTTTCAAACTGAGATAAGGAAAAATTTCTTCAGCCAGAGGGTGGTTAATCTGTGGAACTCATTGCTGCAGGAGGTGTGGAGGCTAAGTCATTAAGTGTATTTAAGACAGAGATACATTAATTTGTAAGGGGATCAAAGATTACGGGGAGAAGGGGGTTAAAAAACATATCAGCCACAAACGAATGGCGGAGAAGATTTGAAAAGCTGAATGGCCTAATTCTGCACCTATATCTTATGGTCTTCTTTAACCAAAGGAGTTATGGCTCATGCAACACAAATAGTCTAAAAGGTTGGTCCTTCAATCTGAGGCTGTGCCCTCAGGTCCTAGTCTCTCATACAAACAGCCTATCCATATTCTCGTGTAGTCCATCATTATCCTCCACAGTTCACAATAATTACAAGCTTTGTTTAATTTGCATATTTTGAAACTGCGCTCACTCTACAATATCATATATCAAGAAAAGCAACTGTTCAAAAGTACTCTGGTTTCTGTCACTCAGCCAACTGTAGTTATGCACTTTCCCTTTTATCCTGTGGGCTTCAAATTTGCTGATAAGCCTATTATGTGGTGCTCTGCTAAAAACATGTAAAATTATAGGTACACCACATCAGCTGCAGTACTGTCATTCACCCTCTCTGTTATCTGATCAAAATTCAATCAAGCTGATTAAAAACAATATTCCTTTAACAAGTTCATGTTTGCTTCCTTTAATTACATTTGTCCAAGTTGATTAAATCCCAGAATATCATTTGTAAAGGCTTTCCTATCACAGAGGAAAACCTGACTGAGCTGCAGCAGTTGCGTTCATCTTTACATGTTAGGAGCCTGGGCCCTCTCCCCGTTACTACTTCCAGAGTGTGGCCTGTACGATCTGGCAGTGACCTGCCTTTGGGCTTGGGGAACTATTGTTTGGCACTTGTGGGTTGGGACATGGCAGCCTAAAGGACTGTGCTGACTGGCGAGACTGAACAAGACACTGTCAGGTTCTTTTTCTGCGATTTATGTGACAGGCTGTAGTAGTCCTGGTTTGGGAGGTGTGGGTTGGGGCGGGGGGTGCGATGGTGACAGCGAGGCACTCTAAAACATCTGGGGTGGGGCATGAACATTGAGGCATGTGCAGTGACCTTGGCGGGGGTAGTTGGTGCCTCCACCATTGTTGCTGCACCAAAGGTGTATGGGAAGGTGGTGTTGTTCCTGAAGACTGAGCGGGCGATGCACCTTGCCCTGGGGAAGGGGCTTCCTGTTGGTGGGAAGATCTTGCCTGTCAACCCCCTGGAAGTAGTTTCTCAGAAGGTTATTTTATTGAACGTCACTCCCATCTGAGCTCCTTCTCTCCCATTTCGGCCTGCTTGGGGAGGTGAGGTTGGGCGCAGTGCCCCTACCACTCAGTCTGAAGGAGACTTGCCTGAGACATATTTACGCCTTTCGGCGACAGGTTTTTGCCTGCCTGGCCTGGGAGGAGATCACGGAGGGTACTTTCACGGTTGAGCACAAAAGTGCTGCTTACCCAGGTGTTCTGGTCGGCAGAGAGTGTGCGGTGTCATGCCTGCAAGGCGGTGGGGCACCTCCAGAGGAACTGCCCTGCCTCGAAGGCCGCTGCCAACACCTACGAGGCTGCAGCTGGCATCACCACCCGTCACCTATTGACCGCCTCCACCCCGCCTCGGACCCCGTAGGAGGGAGATACCTCGCTTATGGACACCAGTAGGGTGGTCAGGAGCAACCTCCCGGTAGGATTCCCCAGGTAACCCTGAGGCTGTCAGCCCCCAGCCTGGGGAGGGATCCCTTTCACAGGATAGCAGTCCCGGGCCCGTCAGGAGAGTGTAGGATTTGGAGCCTTACCTAGTGCCTGTCAGTGAAAAAAATGTGCGAATGAGCAGATGGTGTCCCCAGATTCCCCAGCCCCCTGCGTGCCCCGAAACCCGTGAGGGACAAGGAGAAACAGAAAACATTTTGAAGGAAGGGGGCATCAGGACAGTGGAGAGATGGAGGTGTCTCTCACTCCCACATTCTCCTGATAAAGGTGCCACTCCTCAGGGTCCAGTACTAACAACAACTGCCCCTGGGGATGAGGGAATAGTATCCCCCGGAAGTCCCTCATCCCTCCTTGCTAGGGGAAGGGGACATGAACCCGCCTCTGCAGTCCACCACAACTGGGCCAGGCACCTCAGAGGCTGAGGTGAGCATGGCCACTGAGGTCTTGCCCATACCACAGGAACTGGAAGGCCTCAAAGTGCTGCCTGTGCTGGCACGGGACTGCGATGGGATTAGTTACCCTGAGGGCACCCTGGATGGCAGCAACGAAGCAGCAGGCCTCCTTGCCTCCACCCAGGCTTTTATGTCGGGCACCTCTGCCCCAATTGAGGATCATTTCCCAGATACAGAGGGTGACCCGGCGCTGGGAGTGGAGCAGGTTTCTGAACCGCTGCCACCCGGGGGCCCGACATTTCAGTCAACGTTTTAGTTGAGTCTGGCATAATCTGAGACTTGGATCTCCCTGCAAAGGATCCTCCAACTGTTGAGCTTGGGGGTGGGGCTGAGGCAGGGGGTGTGTCTGACTGGTGATCCTGGTTAACCCCTGCATTTGATGTGGGGGAGGAGCCAGGGTCGGACGTGACGGCCTGGAGGAGGACTGAGCGTTGGTCAAAAGCACTGCCGAGGTAGACAAGGCAGAGAATGACGTGGTGCTTGTGGACGAG